CAGAGACAAACACAAAGGTAGAACAAAGGTGAGGTGAGTACTGTGGAAATATTCGAATATGACATACAATGGAGTCATGTTAGTTTGAAGTGAGAAGTCAACTGCCAGTCAATAGACTTTTTTGCCGTATGAATATACGTCGCCCAGGGTGCACCACGTGGAGGTAAGTCTATCGCACACCCCTGATTCGCAAAAAATAATGCGAACTTTGTTCATATAGCGAGTTTAACTCATGATGGATAAGTTAGGGGGGTGGGGGGGGGGAATGAAGTGGGTGCGAAGGTACTTGTGCTTTTTTCTTCTATATGAAATAAATTACTCCTTTAAGTTCGTATGGGACTAAAATTCCCATTGTCCTGGAAGATGTGAAAATAACTTTTTTGTAGGTTTCGACTGTGTGATAACGATCGCTTTTCTCGCCAAACTATAATCTGCACTTTTTACAACAATGCACTTGGGTTGAACAAGTGTTTTCAATTTTTTTTTTTAGAATTTAAAGTCGCTGGGTTCTAAGTTTTAAGATCTAATTTCTCCGATCTCTCAGTTCTTGGTATATTTTGCGTGCAACAAAATTCAAATACCACGTACGAAGAAAGTGGGTTAAAATACGATTGAGATATTAAAATTGGTGGCAGTCTATATTCCAGCTTCTCTTGGCTTAATTCTCTTGGCTGACTAACAGGCACGAACGCGTGTCACGGCCATATGCAAATTAGTAAATCGACGCGACTTGAGTGGGAATGGCTCCCTCCCACCCTCTCTCTCTCGTGATATTGAGGTCACATAGATAAGCGCGCCCTAATCTCCCTCCCCTTGACCTGATGATTAGTCCTGTCAACTCCCTCGCCAAAGTGATTAGTTGGTATGACGACCTTATCGTTCTAATTTTACGCTCTACTGCATCTTATTTCACCCTCATCTTTATGCTAATGGCGTTTAGATTGATCTCTAATATAGTCCAATGAAGAACTCCCTCTAACCAAGGTGGTTTTAATCTCCACTTCCCGAGGCTACAACACCTCCCAAAATGCAGAAAGGATTGAACGTCAATTGTCGATGACGATTTTATGTCAACAAGGATGAATGGACTTTTCTGTGCTTATTGCACCGTTTGACCTTTCCCAGCACACACACGTCTTTTTGTGGTGTTTGTACAGGGTAGATGTTTTATAGGGAAAGTAGACATGGGAATTAACTGTGGTAATCGAGATCCAAATTGTGCCCCTCCTTCCCCCCTTCCCCCCTTCCCCCCCCCCCTCCCCATTCGTTAATAATCAAATGCCACCGCTAACATTAAATTTATCATTATCATCAACCATGAGGGCATTCTGGGCCTTGTGAGTGTTTGTGTTTGTGCTTGTGTGCGTGTGCGTGTGTGCAGCAAGTGCGATAAAACAGACAAAGTGTAAGCGTTCCTCATTCACTGATTGGTAGCGCGGCATTTAACGAAATAAAAAGTCTACTACTATTTGATAACCTCCCCTGATATTTTTTCCCCCCACTTCACAGAACTATGCGGGATATCTCTTGCCTTGCCAACCTCCTCCTCCACCTCCTCCTCCTCCACTCGTCTTTCATCTTCAACTTTACTCTCGCCGCGAACTGTGACGAGGATTTATTGGGAGAAAATGATTTACCAGACTCGGCTTTCACCGCGACAAGTAATTCAGAAACTGTTGAGCAGCCTATTGCTGGAATTAGTCCTGGAGTGGATCATTCAGCAAAAACTGCCAGGTCTGTGTGTCTTTCTTACCTTATTTGCCTATTTATTTCTTAAAGTGCCATTTGGAAAGTTTCTAATTATTTTAAAAGGATTTACCTGTTATTGCTAAAATTTTAACCATCAGAAAATTGTGTATGGTGCAGATTTTGATATAATTCTACCTGAAATTTTGCTAGAGGTGAAATGCAACTTAGCCACCCGTTATAGAAAGCCATTTTAATAGAAATAATGGCTTTTTTCCGAACTCTGCATCAGTCTAATTGTTCTAGAAGCACTGATCATCAGCTAACCACCTTCAATTGTTTTAATTAAGTGCAAAAAGGAGAATTGTGGTCAAATTTAATATTTTACCAGCTAATTATTTCGGCCCTTATGAGTACTCCCAGTTGACGACCATTATTTTTTGACATTTGGAAATTTGGTCGATCAATCATATTTGATTTGCAGTGTCATTTAAATGTCTTTTCCAAGCTTATACAAACAAAATTGACTGAGTTAAGCTGTCAGAATTTGAGGTTTATTTTTTTTCCAGGGAATTTGAGTCTATCATCTTGGCGTCGAATCTTATTAGTCATCCGTTCAGCTGTCGGAATTAGTCCTATTCCGCGTTGACCACACACGTAGGATAGAGAATTGTGCGGTGGTTAGAGAGGTGGTGGGGGGGGGGGAGTAGAGAAGACCGCTTTTTTTCATTTATTCTGCATGAAATTGTACCGTTATTCAGAGTTTGCCACGGTGGTCCCAGTCCTGGCCGTTTCCTATCCCTCCCATCTCTTGATTACCTCCAAGTGTTCTACTTTGAGGACACTTGTGTTCAACTGCGGTGGCCATACGGAGGGAATTGGCAATACCGTTGAATGTAGGGCAGATTGAGCTACCTGGCTGTACCAATGGGTTCGGATTTGGAAACGCAACTATAATCCTAAGATTCCAGCTTTACTGACTAGATTTGATCTTTTCTGAGTAAATACAAGCGAATATGCTTAGATGGTTACTAAATACTTAAAATGGAATGAAATTGTATTCTAATCGGCTTATCATCTCCTGTTGAGTTTGCTGAATTTTCTGAACTTACGTGGTTTTGAGACTTTAGCAAATCTTTGAGGTGATGGCCTTAAAAGTCGACTTGGTTTAATACTGCCATGATGAGATCTTTAATAGTTAAAATTCGGGCTTACTAAATCCCATGGATTCAAACAAATGATGACGAGGGGAGGTGACTAAGGAGAAGTTAATAGTGCCAGTTCGAAGGGAGGAGGAATATGCCTGTGTAGGAATTTAAAATCTCTCACACAATGCTGTTCTTGTAAAATATGGCCAATCAGCAGCCGAAATGGCCAGGTGTTGAAGAAAAAACCTTGTGAATATGAATGACGTCAAATCGTGAAATAGCAGGAAAAAGTTTCTTTGTCTCAGGAATTAAATGATAATGTCTTCAATTCCCCCCTTTCAGGGATATGCCTACGGGCGGTTGGTGTCCTTCTCGAAAGGTTTCAACAAACCTAACAGAATACATCCAAGTCGATATGAAGGCTGTGAACGTCATTACGAAAATCGCATTTGGGCCGCGCTCTGGCATTGCAGTTAGTTTCCAACACACTTAATTTTGCTCTTTATTTATTTATTATTATTATTATTTTTTTGTGAAATCGACCTCCTGTCTCTACCTTCTATTTCGAATCTACTTGTTTTCAATTGACCCATGGCGTACTTTTAAATTATAAATAAATCTTTAAGGTCCCTCCCCAACCCCCCCCCCTCCCCACCCCCAAGGTACAAGGCGAATATTTGCCATTCTTCTTTAATAAGTTGGATATACAGGCCATACGGCGAAATCAACTTCTGCAGAAAGTCGCAGTAGTTGGAGCGACAGAAAAAAAGAATATCGAGGACGAATATGTCCGGTGGAGACACATTGCCTCATGGCTACCGATGTAGTCTTAATTGGGATGGCCAGAGTGGGGAGGGGGGTGGTTGCCCTCTCTTTTTTTTGGCTGTCAATTAGACCTGAATTATTCATGTTATTAAAAAGGCAGGATTGGTGATTAGTTCATCAAATTTAGATGCGCAGTTCCCTTGCTCAGCAGAGAGGCGAGGGCGGAATTAGCTCTAGTCTTGAAATAAGGCACACCAATTATTGGCTTTTTTTCTTGATTTCTTGTTTATTTTGTTTTTTTCCGACACATTTTTTTTTCTCTCTCCTATTTTAGTACACTCCTGCGTTTGTCATTCGGTACAAAAGGGAAGAAAATGGTGACTGGCGAGATTATAAGACGTGCTCCTCAAATTCCGTAAGTCACACGCTGTTTTTCCTCACTATGTTTTTTTTCTCGTCTTCTACGGTTTTGAAATTGGAGATGTTTGTTTCATGCTTTTTTTTGGCTTTTTATTTTCTTTCTTTCTATCGTTTAATCATTCCTGTTTGGTAAAACGCTTTAGTAGGCCATTCGCTTCCACATTTACACACACTCATCTTTATTGAGTTAAAGACGATTTTGCTTAGATCCGAAATTGGCCATCGTTTGATAATTGTAATATTTTTTCCCTTCTATGATATGTCCTTCCATTCTGTTGACTTCTGCTTATATGCAGACAAGTTTTTCTTGCCTTTTGTTTTTGTGCAAACGAAAGAAAGCTTGAGGTGATGTATGGTATATTTTTCTCACATTGGCAATTTTTGTTTTACTGAAGAGGTTATTTTTAACCGACCAACACTGATACAATCAGTTTTGTGGCAAAGCACGGTAGCAGTTGATAAAATCTTCCGTGTATGTTATTCGTTTCTCCTTTTAAAAATTGGTTGAAACATCGAAGGGGGTGGGGTGGGGTGGGGTGGTGGTGGGGGGGGGGGGGGGGGGGGGGGGGGGGGGGAATAAGTGAATTGTACTCGAAAAATATATATATATATATTTATCAATAGTTGGAGAGCTCCTTTCTTATCCTGTTTAATTTTTCAAACAAATAACTACAGTCAAAAATGGGTGGAATGTATTTTGATTTTTGGTTGCGAAGACTGCCAAAGGAACTATAAATACAATGATGACTTTCGCTCCAAGGTTTCGATCTTCACCCACTAATAGTAAACACCTCGTAAAAGTCGAGAATACGCTTCAACTCCCATTCCCATAACAATCGTTTGCAGCTTTTATCAAAAACTTCCCAGGGTGGATTATTGTTTTTTTCCTAACTAGCCACAGTTATTGCAAGAAAAGACATATATATATATATATATATATATATATATACCAAATGGCAGGCATCTTGATAGTTACCATTAGCCCTTTAATTGACTTCAGGTCTCACAGAGGGGAAGGAACATCAAAGCGAAAAAAGTCGAGAGGAGGGGTGGGGGGAACAGAAGAGTGTTTCAAAGATATAAAAGAGACAGACATAAAGGTAGAAAAAAGGTGAGGTGAGTATTGTGGAAGTAGTCGAATATGACATACAGTGGGGTGATGGTAGTTTGAAGTGAGAAGTCAACTGCCGGTTAATATACTTTTTTGTCGTAGAAGTATACGTTACCCAGGGTGCACCACGTGGAGGTAAGTCCATCGCACACCCCACAAGAAAAGATATTGAATTAGTCTGAAGTGTCTACATTGTTTTCAAGAGCAAAGTAAATGGCTGAAAGTTTAGTCATATATCGACAATTTTCAGCGCTAACAAACCGTACTTTAGTAGTAATCAATCATGGGAAGAAAAGTGTGCGATGAGGTGGTGACGCGTAGTACTTGGTGACTCGCAGGCTATCTGGGGATTTTGTGCACCCAGCTTGTGTTGAAAAAAACAACAGTGGGCAGAGGTAGCCGTTCTTCCTTCCTTCCTTCCTTCTCTATACGTGCCCTTTTCGTATGCCCCTTTTTATCCAACTTCCTGACTTCTTTCTGTCGTTTGCCCTGCCGCCTGGGGGCTACAACTTTTTCCCCCGCTGCTTTCGGATACGCACAAGTCGCGGAGGTGGGGAAACGTCACAAAAAGATTTCATGGTCACCCTTTCCTGTGACTCACATCAAGTATCCACTCACTTTGGGTCATGGCTATCTATATATATATGTATGTATATATA